AAGTGAATAGTCTCATAAAATGAATTTTCATGTAACAATCTTAATTTTGTTTTGCAAATTTATGTTTTCGTATGTTGGGCTTTCTCCAAGTGGAACATACCTCGCCGAGAATTTGAATATGTTTACTATTTTTGAAAGCGTATCTATATTTATCTTATTTTAGTCTCATTATCTTCCATTGAGGGACAACGGAGGGTGAGATAAACTCTTTTAAATGATCTCTTTTAAAAATCAGAATAATATGACAATAATTTTGCAATGAGAATCTACCATCTATGAGCTGATGGGAAATTTCTTCATTTCCTTTCAAATTCATTTTTCTAGAATAAGTCAACTTTACTCTACAAAAATACTAATTCCAACATAAATGATTTCTGATATCTAGTTCCATAATATATTTCACACAGTCTACTAAACAATCGTTATAGAAGTGGAGTCTCAGTGTCCAAAAACCTGTAACTGCAAACTGGTATTAGCTGATCAACATTTAAGTGCACATATAAGAATAACATGTATTGGATGTTGGGCAGGGGGAGGGGGAGGGGGGAGGAGGGGACGGGCATATGTACAAACAATGAGTGCGATGCGCACCTCCGGGGGAATGGACACACTTGAAGCTCGGACTTGGTGGGGAGGGAGGGTAAGGGCATCATACGTAACCTAATCATCTGTACCCCCATAACATGCTGAAATAAAAAAAAAACAAAAAACAAAAAACCTGTAACTGGCTGCACAGTCTTCCAAAAATCTCTAATGCCAACTTAAATGCTTCATCATCAAATTAAAGACTTACTGGTTTTTAACAAAAGCAAAAGTTTTTTAGAAGTCCTTTTTATCTGTAGTTCCTGAAGATAATGGGAAAAAACTATCTAAAAATAGCAACTCTTCCTAGTTAAATGCCTTACATTATTTTAACAGACATATGGCAGACTCCTAAAACTTGATATCATATATGCAACAAAATTCCTTTTCTGTCCAAAAATATGGCCCGAATTTTAAAACTTTCACTTATTCTGTTTCATTGTCATAATGTTCTAAGAAAATTCTGAAAGACATTACAGAACATTAGCAATAAAGGATGATTATTTTAACCATCTCAAAATTCTGCAAAAATAATAATTTATCCTTTCTACTGGGCAAATGAATTATTAGTCTTGAGTTAGGATTAGATATAAAATTGACAAAAATTAAAATATGACCTGTATATCATATCAAACATAATATGAAGGTGAAAAGTGACCAACAAAAAAAATGAATATTTCTAAAATACGCAACGTTGCAACGAAAACAATATTTTAACAAAGACAAATTGAAAAAAAGCATCCATTAAATCAGTAAAACATAAAGTACTATTTTTTTTTTTTTTGAGACAGAGTCTCACTCTGTTGCCCTGGCTAGAGTGAGTGCCGTGGCATCAGCCTAGCTCACAGCAACCTCACACTCCTGGGCTCAAGTGATCCTTCTGTCTCAGCCTCCCGAGTAGCTGGGACTACAGGCATGCGCCACCACGCCCGGCTAATTTTTTCTATATATTTTTAGTTGTCCAGATAATTTCTTTCTATTTTTAGTAGAGACGGGGTCTCGCTCTTGCTCAGGCTGGTCTCGAACTCCTGAGCTCAAACGATCCGCCCGCCTTGGCCTCCCAGAGTGTTAGGATTACAGGCGTGAGCCACCACACCCGGCCATAAAGTACTATTTTTAAGCACTGAATTATCTGAAGATGAAAACAAATCAGAAACTGGTTTACCTGCATAACACATTCAGACATGGTTGGAAGATTCCCTAATTTAGTTTTGCTAAATCTCTGAAAATATTTTCTTTTCTTTTTTTTTATTCCTGCATATTATGGAGGTACAAATGTTTAGGTTACGTTGCTCTTGCCCCCCGCCAGTCAGAGCTTCAACCGTGTCCATCCCCTAGATGGTGTGCATCGCACTCATTATGTGTGTATATATCCATCCCCTCCTCCCCCCTCCTCGATGCCTGATAAATGTTATTCGTATATGTGCTAAATCTCTGAAAATATTTTAGAACCACATGACTGTTCCTCTATTTCCAAAGATCTTGGGAAAAAACTTTAGGAATATAATGTATACACTAGAAAAAAAGTATAAAGCAAAAATTAATTTTTTCAGATATCCTAAAATATAACCCCCAAAATGCCCTTCGATCATCTCTTTTAAAGTATCTAATACTTAAATGCTTTAAAACCATGTAGATGCAGTAAATATCTAGAGCTTTAAGATAACCAAATTCATTATAACATACCATATATACAATGGTAAGACTATTGTGAGGACCAAATTATTAATAATTTAAGAGAGCTAGAACCATTCAGTCAACTAGTACAAGTTCCTTGAGGGCAGGGGCTGGGTCTTATTTCATTTGGCATTCTTAGCACTTACCCAGTGCCTAGTATTTTGTAGGCACATGTTTGCTGAATGGATGAAAAAAAAAAAGTACGTGACAATATACAAATATTATTTCACATTCTAGAAAACTTTCCAGTGTAGTTAATAATCTGATTTAACATGAAACAAATAAAAAATCCAATCATAATCTTACATTTTAATGCCTAAATGCAAACCATACCTCAATTTGCATCTTCAGATGTGTCTTGAAGTTTGACAACAGAGTTAGAAATATAGAAAGAGAAAGCTCAAAAACCTCTGGAACAGATGAGACTCCGTTTTTTGAGAGTGCAACACAAAGATACTGCTTAATAGCATTAATAAACATCTCATTTGTCCTGAAAACGGGTCCTGCATTCTGCAGAATGGACAGAAGTAACTGCAACGAAAGAATCTTGGATCGTAACTCATGAGATCTGAAATGATAAAAAGAAGGCACAGTACATAGACAAGTTTAGCATTATGGCAATAATGAGCTGTTCCAAAGATATTTCCTGATACCACACAATTTCACAAACTTTTTAAATAGGGAGAAACAGAAAACTCTACAAAATAAAGTACAATACATGAACAATTTAGCCACTAACAATGGGTACGTACTTCTCCTGATGTTCCCTTGTACTATGTAATTTCACAAAAATGGAAAAAACATCATTCACAAATATTTAATATCAATCTACTGTTGCAATGGAAAAGAAAAAATGATTTGAAGATTTATGCCTTGTTCCTTTCTTTCGCAACCATACTTCTCCTTAGAAATTATCATAAACTTCTCAGATTAAGTTCCATACTTAGTATGTAACAGCTCCAATGTATTTTTTCTTACTTATGCTACTCAAAAATCCTAGACATCAATAAAAAATTTGGGCTGCATTAACAAGTTACAGCACTACCTCAAGCTTACTTTGTCAGTAATCATTTAAAGATTTTTTCTTTTTTGAAATAATAGAGGCTTTTAGAATATTTAAAAATTATCTCAACATTTTTATAATAAAAAGCTGAAAAACATTTTTGGCATAAAATTTTTAATTATATTTCTGACCAATACATTGTGCCATGTTTCTGATCACTATTTAGCATTTTAATTATTTACTTTTGCAAATATAATTTTTCTCCCATTGAAATTGGTCTCTTAAACCCAACAGACCAAGGACCTTGATCCCATGCAACATTTCAAATGCAGGACACACTTAAATGCTCTGGAGTGGGTTCATTTATTTAAAAAATTTATCCCAAATGCTGTGTTCAGTCACATTTACACACTATAGTTAACTTAATTGCTCTTGATTTCCACTCAAAAATTTTTATGGTTATAATAGGTGTCAAATAATTCAAGGAACTATGTAAATTTGACAAGGAGTATTTAATTTCAAGTAAATGGGGTTCACAAAAAAATACTACTTTCTTTGAAATAAAATGGAAGTCAGTAATACTATAGCTTATAGTCATGTTTCCACGATGCCTATTCCTCTGAATCTAAAAATATGTACAGCAAATATATAATTACCAAAAAAATGCTTAGATAAATCAAGTTAGAAAAGAGGTAAGACTTGGAATAGCTACAGGAAAATATGGAGTGAGCCAAGTATCTCCCCTCTTGTTCTAGCTTTCCAAGGCTTACAAACTGCTACTTCTTCCTAGCCTAGCTCACATTTATAACCTTTTTTGCTCAATTCCTACAATAATCAAATCCTGTATCTTACTATTCTCTAACATGCATTTTTATTATATTTTATCTTTGCATCCCCAGTATTTAACAAAATGCATAGTATATGCTCAAAAAATTAATGGATTTATTCTTGTGTTTATCCATTTATTAAGTATCTACTATGTGCAAGGCATTAATGAAGAAATGATCAAGTAATTGGCATATGACAAGATTATACTTTCGATAGGTAAAAGAGACTGGAAATTTCAGGTCTGCAGTTTTTCATGGGGTAGTTTCTCAAATTATGGTTCAGCCTTAAAGAATATTTTCTGAACCATCATTTTAGCAAGGCCAGAAAATAAAAAAAGACAAAAAAGAAATTACGTAACTACAAAAGCTCATTGATTTTTTCGGCAAAAAAATCATTCAAGACAGAAAACCATATATTCTCTTTTGGAAAAATAACAGTTTCCAAGGGCAAAAAATTTGATCTTTTTCAGTATTCAATTCCAATTGTTTAATAATCCTGATGGTCATGTCAAAAGATTTTCAAATATCATTTCCTAATATTTGGTTTAATCCCACTAAATAGGAAGATTATAAATTTACGTATTTCTCATAAGAGTCTTTTGTAGGGCTGGGCACAGTGGCTCACACCTGTAATCCTAGCACTTTGGGAGGCCAAGGCAGGAAGATCACTTGAGGCCAGGAGTTGGAGACCAGCCTGAGCAACACAGCAAGACCCCATCTCTATTAAAAAAAAAAAAAAAAACTAAAAAATTAGCCGGGCATGGTGCCACAAACCCGTAATCCCATTTACTTGGGAGGCTGGGGCAGGAGGTCGCTTGAGCCCCTGAGTTTGAGGTTGCGGTGAGCTATGATGATGCCACTGCACTATAGCCCAGGGAACAGAGTGGGACTCTGTCTCCCCCTCCAAAAAAACAAAAAAAAGAATCCTTTGTAGTATTAAAGACTGCAACTTTTCAAAACTAGGTCACTCTTTTTTCAGGGCTCAATGAACACACGCCACCCCAATAGTACTCCTCAAAATTCATATATTTTCTTTCGTGTCCTTTTCATTCCATTTTAAAGAATTCCCTCTTTTCTGTTTTAGCGTTTTTTTCAAATCATATTTTTTACATTTGATTTGGGAAAACATCTGAGGCTTTTAAGGTCAGTAACATTTTTAAAACATGGCAAAAAAAAAAAAAAGGCCTTCAGTAATAACACCAAATTCTTAAGTTACTTTATTTCTTAAATTAGGTCTTCATCAATTCAGAATGAGATATCAAAATTGTCAATTTTTGAATTAGAAAGTTATTTTCCCCTCATAATGAGAAATTGAAATTTTTAAGAATATATGTATATATTTTTTTTCTTTGAGACAGGGTCTTGCTCTGTCACCCAAGCTGGAGTGCAGTGGTATGATCATTGATCACTGCAGCCTCTAACACCTGGGCTCAAGTGAGCCTCCTGCCTCAGCCTCCCTGGTAACTAGGAGCACAGACATGTGCCACCAGGACCAGCTAATTTTTTAAAAAAAATTTTTGTAGAGATGGGGTCTTACTATGTTGCCCAGGTTGGTCTTGAGCTCCTGGCCTCAAGTGATTCTCCTGCCTCAGTTTCCCAAAGCACTGGGATTACAACTATGAGCCATCATGCCCAGCCTAAAAATATACTCTTAAATAGTATATAGGGCATAATCAAGCTTATACATAACTTTAATCCTTTTTCTGTAGAGTTTATATTTCTAAAACATAAAAGAACCAATGAATTGTATTTCTGACATTCAGGATTTGGGCTAAAAAGATTTTATGATTTTAGGCTTCTGTGCCTAAAAGATGTTTATCCCTAAACCAGTACAATGTGACAAAACAAAACAAAACAAAACTATAGAACATATAACAAATGTAGTTTCTAGAAACTTATGTTTTACAGCAACTATTTCTAGTCTTCTTAATTGAAACACTCCATAGAGGTTTTTTTTGTTTTTTTTTTAATTTAAATAGTGTTGCTTACATTTCCTCCTATGTCAATATCCCTTTCTTATAGTTACTCGGGTCTTCTCCAAAATCTCTTTCTCCAGAAAGTTTTCCTAAAATTAACATGTGTCAATACATCAAGCTACAACATGAGACAGGTAGACCACTCTTATAACTCTCCAACTCAATCCAAGCGGTAATTAATTACATTTCAATCATATGAAATGAAAGATCTGACCAGTTTTGACTCAGAAAAATCACACTTTCCTAGGATTTAAACTAACATATTTGACAGAAATTAGACAAGTGACTCCTATCTCAAAGTACTTCCTGCTCCCTACAGAGAAAAGTATCATCCTCAGGCATTTTGTCAGACCTTAATGAATATGTATTATCATTCATTATAACTTTTAAAATGTATTTCTTTTAGGTTTTAGTGTCTTTGGACTGGCAGTTTCCAAAAGTCTAGCACGAGACTGGGAAACAGAGTTACGTTAACTCCAAAGTTACTTACAAATAAAGAAATAAGAATTCATCCATTCATTCATTCAATAATTCTTATTGAGGACCTACTATGTACCACGCACTATTCTATAATGCTCTCATACCCTTTAGGAAATAGTGTAAGGTAACCACTTACCAGTTTTGGAATTTACTATTTTTCAATACTTTTTTTTTTTTAAAAGTAAAATATACCCCCCCCCAACAAAAAAAATTTTTAAGGTTCTACAGGACAAGAAGAACAAAAGAAAATCCAAACATCACATTAACAATAAGTAAGTTTCAAGCCTAAAAACCTCTATTTGTTAATCAAAACAGCTAATGACTTACTTTGGGTCTGGCGGTCCATCTGACAGTGGTTTCATTGATAGTTTACACAATGACCTGAATACTAGAAAGGCATCCTTTTGTAAAATATGGGAAAACTTAGCACCAGGTGAAGGTCCTGAAGAATTTCCAGATTCCTAAACAAGTTAAGATACCATGAAAATAAAGACATTTGCCAGTGTAAAATCATTTCAGCCATTTAGTATATTTTATTCAATTCACTAACAGGTGGGGTTTCCCCCAACTACTGGAAGGGAAAGCAGTTGAGGAATCTGCCACATTCTTTTTCTATACTCTAACATGTTATGACCAAACCTAACAATAAATACTTTAAAAAATGCATTTTTTAAAACAATCCTTATTTACCGCCAAATAAACTCTTAAAATTACCCAGCACATGCTATTACTGATAAAAACCTAACATATCTCTGACAAGATACCTATCTCCAAAGGCCTAAATTATGCTTTCTATTACCTGTCATTGGGTATTTTATGCTTTTGCCCTGTTTTATATCTACTCTGGGCAGACATAGGCAGGGCAATGTTTAAAGTTGTTAACTGCTGAAGGTCAACAAAGCCAGAAAAACCTACTCCTGAATATGGGGCACTGACTTAGGATAGGGCTCCCTTATCTAAAAAGACAAGGATAAAAACACACAAAATACAGGGTAGGAAGGATGAGGAGGACTTGTCACTACTATGGTACTGATATCTCTGTCACCCTGAACAAAGGTTAAGATGAAATTCCCTAGATTTCTGAAAGTTTTCTTACCCTATGATACAGGTTGAGTATCCCTTAACCAAAATGCTTGGGATCAGAACTGTTTTGGATTTCAGATTTTTTAGGGTACTGGATTATTTACATTCTACCGATTGAGCATCCCTAATCCAAAAATCCAAAATCTGAAATGCTCCAATGAGCATTTCCTTTGAGCATGACCTTTCAGTGTCCTGTTGGCACTCCAAAAGTTTTGGATTTGGAACATTTTAGATTTCAGATTAGGCATTCTCAACCTATACTAGAATTATCTTGTGAATATGTGATACATATGTTCTTTTTTAAGGTAGTTTCAATTGGGGGGGGTGTGGGGAAGATATGAACACAGATGAGTCATAACTTAAGAGTTGAAAAGGTAGCTATCAAAATATAAAGGGAATAAACTGCTATAACTTATATAAATGAAGAAAAAACCCCCAAGTTTCTTATTTCCCCAAACTAAAATGAGTCAGTATCATCAACTGGAAATATTCATGAAAGGTGTTTGTAGCCTATAAATTTGTAAGATTAACAGCACCCTCACCCATTTATACCTGAGTATCATTGGAAGAGACTGACAATCTGTCATCAGGTAAGGATGGTGTATATGCAACAGAAATTGGTGTTCCTGGAATTCCATTTGCTTGAATATTTTCGCTGTCACTACCATCCTCTATAGCTCCAATGTTGCCGTCTGCACTTGCATTTATAGTAGTCCCTTCTCCCATATCTAAAATGGTAAGAATAAAAAACATGCAAATATATCGGACTTAACTGAAGTGTATCTAAAAAGCATAGAGTATTTAAAATGAAACAGTGGTAGAAAAGCAACGTGAAATAAAATATGTATTGGCACCATTTAAAGGTTAGCATACTTACTAGTAAGTAAGTATGCATTTGGCACACTTTCAAATACAATCCTTAAGTTGCTCTGGCAATGAAACACACTTAGCTGATAAAAGGCTAACCCGGATGTGCCAAAACAGAAGCTTACTTTTTAGTCTATATTAGAGTTTACTAAACTGGGTTCTAATGAATGCTAATGTCTTAAAATCTTAAGAATTCCTTGAAAAAATAACCATTGTCAAATCGGTTTAGAAAGTAGGCTTCTTTATTATATAGTCTTTAAGTTGCTAATATGTGCTAAGTTCTCCAAAGAGGATATACATACATAGTATTTCCAAAATTATTGCACCATAAGCACCCTCCCTTTTTTTAAGAATACCTATTATATCTCTAATAACATATCTGCTTTGGAACATAGCTAGAAAAATGATGGCCTACACCACTGAATATTTTTCATTATGTCATTCTGAGTAATCATACTTGTAATTAACATAAACAGAAGCAAATGACTTCTGGTAAAACAAACATAGATAATAAAAATAATACCAAGTTCCAGAACTACTCTAGGTGAAATGAAACTATTCCTTTCATGTTACCAACTGAAAGAGGCTAGTATGAGGGAAACATACTACACTGTAAAGAACACAGATTCTAGAATACATAAGATCTATGTTTCAGTCATGTCTCACCATTTATCTGAATATGTTATTTAATCTTTCCTTTCCTCAGTTTCTTTTATCAGCAGTAGAGACGATAAGGTCTATGAGGAAATCACCAAAACACACACACAATACATAAAGAACATAACTTGTGCTTAATAAGCGGTAGCTATTACTAATTTTGTTACTAATTGATAATGTGTCTCCAACTTTTGATTCAAGTAATATGAAAGGAGTAGCAGCTTCTGGTTCCCTGAAGCTGCTTTCTGCTCTCCAAATTAAAACACCGTGCAATAGATAAAACTGGCTAAAGTATGCTTTACACTTAAGTATAACATAAAAAAAGATATTCAGTAATAAGATACATTTGGAAAACTCTGAGTTACACAAAACAATTTCTCAGAGGACCTTTAGAGCTTTAATATGCTAATGCTTGATATGCTAAGTACTACTATAGCTTTTATTATCATATGTATATATTACCTATATAAAGAATGCTTATGTACTCAAAGAACTTTGAAAGGAGTCAGGAATGTTAACAATGATTATAAGAAACTTGAGTTCCTATATTATTTCTCAAGGTACTTATTCCAAAACTTTTTCTCTCTGCACCCAATTATATCTCTTCCTATGACTTTCTCCCCACCTCTCCTTAACAAATGAGATCCACCCTCTACTTAACTAAGAATTAGGTAATTTAACAAAGGCTCCCTCACATTCCCCTGCACTACCATAAGGTTCCTTTACATCTCCAATAATCTTTTTCTTCCCTCTTATTTAATGGGAAAAATATTCCTTTGCATTTCTAAATTAAACCATTCATTTGCCCTCAAATCCAACTCTTCTTGCCTTCAATAGTACTCCACTATTTTCTTTTAACATTACACTTTCAATCTTATGCACACAACTGGATCTTCCCTATTACCCAATAAACATATTCAAATCTTTTCATTCTGAAAAAAAAAATTCCTTCAACTCTTGCCACATCTTAGCTATTGTCCATTTTTCTCCCTCTTTATATAAAATTTCTCAAAGAAATGCTTAATATTATTTGATATTACTTTCCTCTTTCCCTTCTTAGGAAATTTCTCAAAGAAACAAAAACATTTTCTGATTTTATTTTCAGGCATTGAAGCCAGACCACCTTGGGCAGCAATCTTTACTTTATCACTTCCTATAAAGTTAACTTAATCTCTCAGTGCCTCAGTTTTCTCATTTGTAAGAAGGGGATAATAAGGTAGCTATACATCCCAGTATTTTGGGAAAGATTAAATGAATAAATACAAGTAAAGCACAAAAAATCATTCGGGATATACGAGAAGTACTTAATACAGTTAGATATTATTGTTTTCTCCTCTAACTATCCTCTAAACATAGATGCAGACTTCTGTTTTCAAGGTGGTGAATTGAGCCCATGAATTTACCTTTTCCCTTTGACAAATTCCACTGAAATTACAAGAAAAAATACAAACAAGAGACATAGTCTTTAATAGCACTGAAAACTAAAGAGGATAACACTAGACCATAAACTTTGAGGAATTCCTAGAAAATACAACAGGTTAAGGTCAAGGGAAAAGCCATTTAGTTCTCTATCTATGACTGAACACACGCAAAGAACAGGCCTACCTAAGACACGGTTCGGTTTTATCACGTGGATTCTAAAAGACACCAAAGCCCACAATGGCAGGTGCTATGAGGTATGAGGAAAGATGCAAATTAAAGAGCTTGGGGGACCATGCCAATGTCTATTAATAGAGCTGCCCGCAGCCATGACAATCTAGACTGTATTTGAGCACTGCCTGTTAATTAAAGGAGAATATTTGCTTACTAGGTCTCCTAACCTAAGAAGTATAGGAGGGGCAAGAGCAGTACACCAGCTAACTGGCAGTGCTGCAATAAACACCAAAGAAAAACCAACTTAACACAGTAGCGAAATCTCCTAAAGTTCTAGGCTCCTTTTCTGTTTCTACTTAACCACTGCTAACTAAAGCAGTAATTAAATGAAGGCAGCCTAAGATTCCCTAGCGAAGGCTGGGAGAGTGAGAACAAACCAACAAGTCTGAAGATCTCCCTCAGTGTAGAATATATAAAACGTTCACATCATTTATCCTAAGCTTCACTTGGCTTCGGTTTGCGCTAACAACACGGTGAGTGAGATGGGCCTACACAGCCCAAGGACGGCTAGAGCCACATCTCGCTCAAGGGAGGCATCTGCTTCTTAGTCAGTTCTCTGCTCAGAAAAGAGGTCTGCCTTTGGACTGCAGTCACCTCATGAACTCTGGAGAGGAAGGCCTCAAGAGACATGGAAAAGAAATATACATAATTATGGAGAGAGCTCTTTATAGATTGATCAAATCTAGTCCGTCTTTCTACAAATAGACAGAAATGTAAAGTCTACAGCTCAAAAATGAAGAGAAAGCACAACAATCTGAGCAAATGGTGAAATATATTTTATAGCTGGAACAGTTCTAATTAGTATTGTCAGTGATATGTGAAGGAATGTTCCATCAATATATAAGATTAAAGTGCTATGAAAAAGAAGCTCAGAGAAAAACAGGGGGTCTTGGGAATAAAAATATAATTACTGAAATAAAAACCACATTGGGAAAAGCAACAGAATAGAAATTACAAAAGTATTCACAAATTGAAAACCCCTTGTAACATTCTCTCTGAACATAGAACCCTAGGACGAAATGACAGAAATTAGAAAAAACTGTAACAGCAATGAGGGACATGATCTAGAATACTCAACTTCTGTATACAGTGAGATGTGGAAAGGAAGAATGAAAAGAATAGAGGAGAATTAAAAAAGAAATAATAGAAAATATTTCTAGAATAATGCTATAAAAAATCCAAAAGCAACTCCAGATTTAAAAAGCAAAAGTAAAATCACACCCATGCACACAATCATATATATACATATATATACACAAAAGTATCTTTTAATAAACTAGAAACAGAAGAAAACCTACTTAATAAAGAGTATCCTCCAAAAACAATAGCAATCATCAAACTTAATGGTGAAATACAGCAATAATGTTAAAAAAAAGAACGAGGTCCTTGCCATTAAAAACATTATTCAACATTTTCTGGAGATTCTAGACAATGTAATACAACAAAAAGAAACAAAAATGAGGTTTAAATACTGTAAAGGAAGAGACAAAAACAAATATACCATTATTCACCTAGAAAATCCAACATAACCAAATTTAAAGCTGTTAGAAATAATGAAGAGTTCAAAAGGTGACTAAATAGGAGATAAATATGGAAAACCAAAAATTTTCTACATTCCAATTAAATAAGGGAATGGGAAAAAAAAACCTAACTAAAATACTATCAAAACTGAACCAAAAAGACAGAAACAATTTAACAGGAAATGTGCAAGAACCAAAGGAAGAAAACAGAATTTTAGTGAATGACATAAAAGATTTGAACTTTATGTTTCTAGATAAGAAGACTCACTACAAAGAAGATATATCTCCCCAAGTTAATTTATAAGCACAATATGATTCCAATTACTAAATAAGCTTTATTTTTTTAACTTAATAAACAGGTTCTAAAGTTCACCTAAGAAGATACATTTAATAGGTATTTAAAAATTGATGAGGGGGACTTTGACTATAAAGATCAAAATGTACTATGAAGCCAAAATATTTTAAATAATTCGACACTGAATAGGAACAAATAGTTCAATGTAAATGTACAGAAAAAAAAAAAAAACCAGAATCATTTAGGATTAAATTGGTATCTCAAGTTAATTAAGAAAGGGTTATTCTAGAGGTTATAATTAGCTATCTAATTTCATACAATATAGAAAAACAAACTCAAGATAAAGAGTTCAATTCAAAAGTTGAAAACGAAAGTATTAGAAAAACATGTAGAATATTTTTATAATCTTAGGGTAGGGGTAAAATCCATTCTAAGTAAGATAAAAACAAAAATCACAAAGGAAAAGATGGTATTTATTAAATTTTTTGTGTGGTCAAATATCTGCTCAGAAAAGTAACAATATAAACAGAGGTAAAAAAGCAAAACAAAGCAAAGACTGACCAGAAAAAAAAAAAAAATGTACAATACATTGAACAAGGGATAATTTCTTAGTATGGAGAACTGTGGAAAATAAGAACAAAAAACAAACAAACCAAGAAAGAAAAGGACAGACAAAAGAAATTAATAGGCAATTCAGAAAAGGATAAATAGCTCAAATATATTCAGTTGGAATATA